ATTCCCAAGCCCCGTTTTGGGCATTCATTTCTGTGGGCTGGTGTCTCTCTGGCGTTAAACAGACGCGGGGCGTTTAGAAGGTTCCGGATTGTTCCGGAAACCTCCGTTCCCTCCTGCATGGCGGGGGCCAAGCGCGGCTCCCCAAGCGTGGCGGCCTGTAGAAGGGTTTCCCGGGTTGCGGGCTGAGTCCCGAGGGACCCTCCGGCGGAGCTGTGGTCGGAGAGTCACACCGGCGTTCTGAGGATTCCTCTGGCCCTCGCCGGGGTTCTCGTCCCACGACTCCGGGCCGATCCGGCCGTCGGAATGAGGGCGACTAAATTCCCTCTCAACCGCTTCTGTGTGAGTGTCCACTTTAGCCGACAGCCCTGATAGGACTTTTGCGATTTTTCATTCATCAAAATAAAATTGTGAGCATTTAAAAGCAACGTCATGATCACACGGCACCTCAAGCTACAAAAAAATAAATAGAAATAATGCCACGATGAGCATTTTTTTCATATGTTTCTTGGCCATTCTTCTGTCTTCTTTAGAAAAGTTTCTGTTCAAGTCCTTTGCCCACTTTTTAATAGGGTTATTTGATTTTTTTTTTCTTACTGATTTTCGTGAGTTCTAAGTATATTCTAGTTACCAGCCCTTTATCGGATGCGTAGGATGCAAAAATTTTCTCCCATTCTGTAGGTGAGGGGCATTTATTGAAACCTTAAAATCTGTACCCCCATAGTATGCCGAAATAATAATAAAAAAAGAGAAAAATAAAATAATCATCCTAAAAGAAAAAAAAATAATGTCATGAAAACATACATGCATATGTTACCTATTCTGATAGTTACATGGCAAGGAGAGCTGCTTATGAAGTGAAACAAGCTTTCAGCGCTTTAAAGTGGGCGTCCTCAAACTACGGCCCACGGGCCACATGCCGCCGGCCGCCTGGCACATTGACCCGGCCCTCCGGGTGTTTTTGCCACCGCCGCTGCCTGTCCTGCTTAGCAGCCGACTCGTCCCGGGCCCGCAGTGTGCACTCTTGCAATGGTCTGAGGGACGGCGAACTGGGGCCCCTGTTTAGAAAGTTTGAGGGCCGGGTGCACGCGGTGGCTCTCGCCTGTCACCCTAGCTCTCTGGGAGGCCGAGGCGGGCGGATCGCTCGAGGTCAGGAGTTTGAAACCAGCCTGAGCAAGAGCGAGACTCCTGTCTCTACTATAAATAGAAAGAAATGAATTGGCCAGCTAAAAATATATATAGAAAAAATTAGCCGGGCATGGTGGTGCCTGCCTGTCGTCCCAGCTACTGGGGAGGAGGCTGAGGCAGGAGGATTGCTTGAGCCCAGGAGTCTGAGGTTGCTGTGAGCTAGGCTGACGCCACGGCACTCACTCTAGCCTGGGCAACGGAGTGAGACTCTGCCTCAAAAAAAATAAGGTTTGAGGACCCCTGCTTTCAAGCTTTCCTCGTCACACAAGAGCAAGACGGACGCACCGTCCATGCACAGCGCAGACCACCGTGCGGGCCGAGGGTGCCGTCTACGGGGGCGGTGTCTCGGCCGAGGCTTGCTTGGCCGCGCTTCGGGTTGCGTGATTAACAGACGCGTGGTGGTGTACAGATGCCACCGTCGCTGTTGCTACCAGAGACAGGGAGACTAAGGTTGGGCGGGCTGCTGTTGTGTGCAAGGATCGTTTTTTGTTTCGTTGCTTGCGTGTCGGCGGGCTGTGGAAAAAGAGTTCTCTTGTGGGCGAACTCCACCTGTTAGACGTGAGCTTTATGCCCTCGCTTGAGGGGCAGAATGAATGGGCGGACCGTGGTATTAGTGTGTCCAGTTACAGCGGGAGGCCTTGGGGCCGGGGGTTGGAACTGCTTGTGCATGACGCCCTCAAGAACTTGCGTTGCCTGGCCCCCAGGGCTCGATGTTTTCGGGTGTAATCTCCATTTGTTGGCAGATAATGGCCGGTACAGGAGGGGCTGGTGCATTCTTTTTTTTCCAGATAGACCCGTTTAACTTGTAGGCATACATCTACGGTGGCAACAGGGCAGGGAAACCTCACAGACCATGTTGCTGCTGAGAGCCAAGTCTTTGAAGGTGGTATGTGCACTACGAGCGTCCGTTTAGCTCTTAAAACGCTCTTATGTGGTAACCTACGGCTGTGTTCAGTTGTAGAAAATCCTGTTTAAGGGTGTATGTGTGGTATGCGCGCTCTACCCATGTGTCAATAAAATGTTAATTAAAATATTCAAATAGGGATACGAGCCACTATAAACAGACTGTTTGGTGATTCTCGATCAGCCATCCTGTAGGGATGTCTACTCTGTTCTCTCCCATAGGTAATTTAGAAAACGCTGTATTTGTTTTTTTTTTTTTTTTTTTTTTATCATTCAATAATCTCTCTCACAGACAGGGACGGTGTTCAAACTTCGGGTCATCGGGGCGCCACCCTGCGGGTGTTTTAGCCCGTTTGGTGTTTTTTTTTTTTTTTTTTTTTTACTTCAAAATAAGATGTGTGCCGTGTGCGTAGGAATTTGTTCATAGTTTTTTTTTTAACTATAGTACTGGCCCTCCAACGGTCTGAGGTCGTGAACTGGCCCCCCTGTTTAAAAGGTTCTGAGGACCCCTGCCATAGGCGCTATTATTATGCGGGGACTTTATCAGTCCTTGTAATTAATTTCTGTTTGAGACAAGAGCTCTCGCTTGTTGCGCCGGTAGGTGAGTTGCCGTGCGTCAGCCTAGTCACAGCAACCTCAATCCTGGGCTCAAGTGGTCCTCCTGCCTCAGCCTACCGAGTAGCTGGGCTACAGGCATGCGCACCTGCCCGGCTAATTTTTTCTATATATATTAGTTGGCCAATTAATTTCTTTTACTTTTTAGTAGAGACGGGGTCTCGCTCTTGCTCAGGCTTGGTCTTGAACTCCTGGACACTCGAGCGATGCTCCCGCTTCGGCCTCCCAGAGTGCTAGGATGACAGGCGTGAGCCACCGCACCCGGCCCAGAATTAATATTGATCTTGTCCTC